AAAGCTGTAAAAGATGAATATATACCAGGAGTAAGAAACGTTCAATGGTAAGTCACAATCAAGGATGTCAAAGCAATGTTGAATCATGTATAATATTGCTCTTGTGAATGTGAAATTATAGGAGTACTGGCTGACTGTTTACCATGATTTAGTGTAGTTCAGTCAGTCAGTCAGTGCAATTGAGGGAAATAGGCTTACGCCTTTGAACTCCCTATTTGTACACAAAAAATCGATAAACAAACAAAAATGTGAATAAATTACAGCACTAAGTGAATGCATACATTGATTCACATATGTCACTAGTCACATGGCTAAAAAGTCACATAGTCCGCTTGTTCCTGCAGCATATATCTGTCAAGGCGACATTTAAATGTCTCCACAGATTGAGACATGACAACCGTCTCGGGCAGATTATTCTACGGTTCCACGACACGGTTGGAGAAGAAATATTTTCTCACATTCAGTCTACCCCGTGGCACACGTAGCTTGAAGGGATGTCCCCGGAGGTGAGTTGTAGTGGCGAGCTGGAAAAAGTCATCGCGCCGAAGGGCACAATCCAAGCCGCGCATTTGTATCATGTCTCCGCGCAACTGCCTATAACTCAGAGGATAGAGATTAAGGTTGGTTAAGCGGATCTCGTATGGCAGTGCACTTTGACCTCTTATTAATTTTGTTGCTCGTCTCTGCACCCTTTCGAACAGATCGTAATCCTGATGCGTCCACGGTCTCCAGGCCTGAATCGTATATTCGAGATGGGGCCTTACAAACGTGCCGAAGACTTTGGTGAAGCAATCTTCATCGAAAACTACGAATGCCTGCTTGATGGCATATAGCATTTATGTTGCGGCCTTGGCCGCCTTACAACATTGTGTAGAAGGCTTTAGGCTGTCTGCAACCCAAACTCCGAGATCTTTCTGAGTTTCTGCTTCTCGGAGTGGCATTCCGTTCAGATGGTATTGCCGCGTACTAGGGGTCTGATTTCCGAGGCGCAGAAGGGTGCATTTGTTCAAATTGAAGGACATGAGCCATCTGCGGGACCACTCGTCCAATCGACAAAGATTTTCTTGGAAGTCGGTCTCATCGGCAGCATTCTGGATGACTTTCCAGATTTTTATGTCATCCGCAAACATGGCACAATCACAGTCCAACCCATATACACAATCATTGATGAACAAGAGAAAGAGGATTGGTCCGAGCACCGAGCCTTGTGGGACCCCACTCTCTATGAATGTGCACCTTGATTGCTGTTGTTCTACGCAGAAAATTTGGGAGCGGCCGTCAAGGAAATTTTGGATCCATTTGAGAAGTTTGCCACCGATGCCCATAATTCTTAACTTGTGTAGGAGACGCTGGTGCGGAACACTGTCAAACGCCTTCCGAAAATCAATATAGGCAACATGCACGGTGTGTTTTGCGTCCAGTGCTCGTGTCCAACTTTGCATTGTGTATAGCAAATTCGTAACACATGATCTTCCCGTACGGAAACCATATTGTGCATTGGACAAGAGGTTGTGGGTTTCCAAGTAAGCCATCAACTCCTTTTTGATGATTTTCTCCATCACTTTGCAACCGATTGATGTCAGACTGACGGGTCTGTATTTTGTCGCCTGAGCACGACTACTGCTTTTGTAAAGGGGTGTAGTGTGGGCCGTCTTCCAGTCTGTGGGAAGAATTCCAACATCAAACGATTTCTGGCACAGAAAGGATAGTGGTTTGGCCAGCTGTTGGACAAGCTCAAAGAGCAGCTTTGCTGGGATCTCGTCCGGACCGGGAGATTTACATTTCTTCAAGCTTTTCAGTTCTTCCAAAATCGCTTCTTCTCGAAACACAATATTTTCGATAGTGGATCTCTCATGTTCTCAGAATTGGATCGGGTAAATTCTGCTTCTCTTGTGAAAACGGATCGGAAAAATTGAGAAAAGTGCCCAGCCTTATTTGTACTGCCCGATATCTCCAAGCCGTCATCAACCCTCATAACAGCAATGGGATTCCTGTTACGTGTGCTTTTCCGCAAATAGCTGTAAAGCAATCTCGGATTTTTAACGGCTCGGTGGAGCAAATTACTCTCAAAATCTCGTCGCCTCCTGAAAATCAGACTTTTCACCTTATTTCTTTGAACTTTGTATTCTGTAAACGCTGCATTATTGTTTTTCCCGCGAAATTTCTTCCATAACCTTCCTTTCTTGTTGATCTCCCTTTTGAGTTCTCGTGTTAGCCACCGAGGGCGGTTGGATGTCCTAGGCTTTGATAAGGGACAGTGGTTCTTCATTAGATGCAGTAAACGATGCTTGAATAAATTCAATTCAATTCAATTCAATTATTTTATTAAAGACCCGTCGGGGTCCCATCAAAGCAAGCAAAAATAAATTTACATGCAAATTTTAGACGATGTAGGCAAAATCTGCACAAAGTGCAATGCATAGTTTTTNTATGTTGCTGGGTTGGAAAAATAGGAGACAAGAAAATAGGATTTTGGGAATTGTTAGCATAATACGAGGGGTAGTTTATGTTAGGTGGCGGACGTAATGGTTTCGGGAAACAGTTAACATCAGGAAAGGGCTTTATTATTTTGGGTGTCAGGCTAGCAACGGGATTGGAAAATTTATCAGCAATGCAATATACTTGCATTTTGCAGTCTGATGTGTAAGAGGGCTTCACAACTGTGGCGTTAAGTTGAGAATTCAGGATAGGAACAGGTAAAGACCTCCCTGAACTCTCATCTAGTTTATTAGACCTAACTGCAAGGTCAGACCTGAGTGGCCAGGCGTGGGAACGGGGTGGATTCGATGTCAGTTTATTAACCAAATCACTATTCTGAGTGCTGGGAGCCGGTTGTGCTTCAAGGACTAGCTCATCTTTACTGCTAAGATCAAGCTCCCTTATAAATTTGGGAGCCGCATTTGAACAATCCTTGCTCCGTGGGGGAGTTTTAAAGAGGCTAGTTTTAACCGTCTCTGTGATAATGTGATCAGTCGAAGAGCTAGATGGAACTGGGGCCGCTGTAGATAGTGGCGGGATTTGGTCGACATCAGATGGAGAAACTGCTTTAGAGGAAAAAGACATTTGGGTAGAATTCGGGGGTGGCTTTACGTTTGGTAATATGGGAGAAATTTTTCGTTGCAGTGGAGTCTGGTCTCGACTAATAAAAAGTTTATTTGCCCTGAGGTATTGAGTTGATCGCTCCAAATGGGAGAAAATAAAATCCACTTCAATCGATGAAAAGAGTTTGACAAGAATGGGTGGATTCTTGCTCCTAGATGAAAGCCTTTTGGCTTCCGCGACCCTAAAGTTGAAGCCGCATGAAAAAAGGAATTGAAAGGCAACATCAATTGGCTGTCTACTCTTGGGAACGTTTTTTAATATAAAGTTGAAACTTCGTTTGTGCCTGTCTTCAGTCTCAGTCGCAACCAGGTTAATGAGAGGCATGAGCTTCTCACACTGCTGAGACGTAAGCGTTGGCAAATTTCCGTCAAGAAGGGCACCAAGGACAGAAAAAATTGATCCGCAACGAGACATAAAGTTGTTAAAATCATCAAGCGCCCCTAGATCAATTTTTTTCATATGAACACTGGGTTTCAGATGAAGTTTAGTTTCCTTCAGATTTCGACGAAGGGTTGCTTGAGGTTTCATGCCGAAAACGCAATACAAGACTTAAGTCCAAATATTTATATGGATGATAACTGCCGAAACTTCGAGGATATATGGATGAGGCTACGTATGATGAATCGATTTATGAAAGCTGCAAATATTGGTGGACCAGACAGCACAATTTATACTAAGCAGGTTTTACTCAATACCAGAATGCAAACTAGAAAAAAAACGGGCAAATGACAATTTCGTAGGTGGTAAAACAGAACTATGAATAAATCTGAATTGGATAATGAGGCTATGTAGGATAAAATAGATAACAGTATAATTCTCAATAAACTGACGATGAAAGCCGTTAGTGGAGACGGTTTATCGTTTAAAATATAATGTTAATCTATATTTTTACGAGGAAAACCTTTTGTATATGCAGGTAAGACTTGATAGGATTGAGGCTATGTTGGGTGAAAAACTGCGACAATAGATTTCTGCTTTATGACAAATCGCAGAAACACGACAGGAAGCGAAGAAGACTTATGACAAAAAATAGAAAATTTCGTCAGGTCTACACTGGAAAACTGTGCAAGGGATTAAGAAATTGAATCCAAAAATATAACTTTCACTTATCTTTTCAAAATCGTGCTGCGCGCGTTGACCTCCGCTTCGGAGGTGGTGTTCAGGGCGCAGTCGTCGGCGAAGAGGAGTTCGTGCCCGGTGGCTGTGGATACGCGCGATTGGAAGTTCATGCGCCGGTGATTCAGGAGATGACCGTCCGTTCTATAGGCGATGCGGATTCCAGGGCGTTCGTCGCGGTAGGTGTCCATCAGCATGGCAGAGAACATAAGACTGAAGAGGGTAGGCGCCAGCACACAGCCCTGCTTCACTCCGTTGGTCACTGCGAATGCCTCTGAGACAGCTCCGTTGTCCGTGACTCGCGCCATCATACCGTCGTGCAGCTGACGCACCATCTGAGTGAATCGCTCCGGACAGCCGCATTTCTGCGTGATCTTCCACAGTCCTTCACGATTCACCGTGTCGAAGGCCTTCGTCAGGTCCACGAAGTTAGAGTATAAGTGGGTCCGCATCTCCTGGCACTTCTCCTGAAGTTGGCGGGCGGCGAAAATCATATCCGTGGTCCCACGATGACGACGGAAGCCGCATTGGCTTTCCGGCAGGAGGCCCTGTTCCAGATGGTTGTTGAGGCGGTTGAGCGGGATGCGAGCGAAGATCTTCCCGGCGATGTTCAGTAGGGAGATGCCGCGGTGGTTGTCGCAGACTTGGCGATTCCCTTTTCGCTTGTATAGGTGCACGATTGTTGCGTCCTTGAAATCTTGCGGGACTTCACCTTGACGCCACATCTCCTGGAAGAGCGCAGTCAGGTGATCCATCAGTAGGGGACCTCCGTGCTTGTAGACCTAAGCAGGGATTGCGTCCGATCCGGGTGCTTTCCCGCTGGAGAGTTGCTGCACGGCCCTGATGGTCTCCTGGAGAGATGGCGGGAGGTCGAGGTCCACGTTGGTCTCCACTTGCGGCAAGCGGGCGTTGGCGGCGTCGGAGATGACGGAAGGGCGGTTGAGGACGCCCTGGAAATGCTCGGCCCATCGCTGTAGTATTTGCGTCTTCTCAGTCAGGAGAGTGCTGCCGTCGGCGCTGAGGAGAGGAGCAGTGCCCTACGTCGGCGGACCGTAGACAGCTTTGATCGCGGAGAAGAAGTTCTTCCATTCGTTGCGGTCCGCGTAGCCTTGGATCTCCTCAGCTTTGCAAGCAGTCCAGGCGTCCTGCATCTCGCGCAGTTGTTGCTGAAGCTGTCGGCGACTGCGGTAGAAGGCAGCTCTGTTGTCCTCAGTGGGGTGATCTACGTAGGCTGTGTGTAGGCGGTTCTTCTCGGCAAGCAGATTTCTGATGGCAGCGTCGTTGTCGTCGAACCAGTCCTGGTGTTGGCGGGGAGCGCGACCGAGGACGGTGAGCGCCGTCGACTGGACCGTGTCTCACAGTTGACACCAGCGGTTCTCCACGGAGGCGTTCGCGGCAGCGGCGGCATCGGCGATGGTGAGGTTGTCTAGCCGTTGAGCTAGCTCATTGCTGGAATGAAGATGATGAGCGGGCAAAGACAACAAAGCAACATTCAGCTTACCTGGGGGTCGCTTACCTTGTGGTCTCCTGCGAGGCTGTAGGCGAATACGCATCTTCGAGATGACGAGGCGATGGTCGGTCCACCCGTCAGCACCCGCGATCGCCTTCGTCACCAGCACGTCCCGCTGATCTCGCCTCCGGACGAGGACATAGTCCAGCAGGTGCCACTGACGCGACCGAGGATGCCTCCAGGTGGCCTTCTCTCGCTCCGGCTGACAGAAGAACGTGTTCGTCAGGATGAGGCGGTGTTATGCGCAGGTGCGAAGGAGAAGCAGGCCGTTGTCGTTTGAGCCGTGGAGACCGTAGGGACCCAGCACTCCCCTGCAGGCAATATGATCGGTGCCGACGCGGGCGTTGAAGTCGCCAAGGACAATCAACTTGTCCACCTTCGACACAGTCGCCAAGAGGGCGTGCAGGTCCTCATAGAATTTGTCTCTTGCGGCGGCGTCGGGGCTGCTCATCGGCGGAGCGTAAACGCTGATGATGGTGGCGAATTTGCCTCCTCGCCGGAGAGCCAGGCGGAGACTCATCAGGCGATCGTTGATGCCCTGCGGCAGACAGGGCAGTCGTCCCACGATGTCGGTCCGGATGGCAAAGGCGACACCCGCGTCACGTCGCCCTGCCCTGGGTCGACAACTCCAGAAGAAGGTGTAGCCGGCACCCACCTCCTCCAGTTGGCCTTCTTCGGAGAATCGGGTCTCGCTGAATGCGGCGATGTCCACCTTGTAGCGCGCCAGTTCTCGTGCCACTAGCGCCGTCCTCCGTTCCGGTCGGTTGCTCCTCGGATTGTCTAAAAGGGAACGAACATTCCAGGCTGCCAGAGTGAGCGGACTCACTCTGCCAGTCTGGCGACTGCGGCGGCAAAAAGTAGGAGTAGGAGAAGGAGAAGAATAGTCTGGAAGAGGAAGAGAGTGATTGTTGTTGTTGTTTCGGTTTTGGCTGTTTCGACCGTGTGTTTTTTGTCTGCGGCACGGCCAGCCTACAGACAGCGTGGTTCCCTGCGATCTTTAGGGCACCTTTTCTAGCCCCCTCCCCCTCGCGGGACAGTCAACGCATCCCTGAACAGGGCTGCCCGGTTATCCCAGACGGCTGCCGGACTCCACTATGGGCCATGACTTTTTTTTAGTGAGAGAACGACCCGAATTAGCCTGGGACCTTGGTGGTGAGGTGATGATATGATGGAGTGAAGTAGGAGAGAGCATAAACACTATCTAACGCTATGGGACTTAGAACTAGAGTGGACAGGCGGACACAGTCATCAGTCAGAGACAAAGTGAGGGCACCACACAAAGTCAAGCACCGTAACACCTAGCTATTAGTAGAGTGGCATAGACTGACGGACAGACAATCGCAGCAGACAGCGAGGGTTTCGTCTAGCTATTAGCAGACAGACTAGCCTACAGGAGCAGGAAGCAAGAGCAGCATACGACACGGAACTTCAGCAGACAAAAGGAAGAAACAGAGCAGATGCACTTACCTGAGGGGGAACTTACCTGGTGGCCTCCTGCGATGGTCCAGGCAGAGCCTCGTCTCACGATGTCGACGCGAAGATCCATCCGGCCAGCGCAGACCACAGTACCGCGCGTGCAGGTGCACGCACGGATACCCTCACCTGGTTTAGCCCGCCGGTCGAGACGGTTGCCCGGGGTGTGGCCGCTGAGCAGAGCCCAGCTACGTGGAGCCACAGGTGAGAGTTGGGTGCCAGCAAATGGACGCTAGACGTAGTCTCACTTGTGAACAAGTAAGCGAACACTACGACCATCACGTGAACCCACCGCTGACACCCCTACACCCCCATCACAACTCCATAACCCCATCACAACATCTGCGGGAAGCTCATTCCATGGTTTGACCACCCGAACCGAGAAGGAGAACTTCCGCACATCCAGCCGTGCCTGCCGAGTGCGCAGTTTTAACGGGTGACCTCGGAGGTTGGTCGTGGTAGCAAATTTTTTTCTTTTTTTTTCATTTTCATTTTGCTTAACGGACTTCTAATCTCAAAAACTATGCATTGAACTTTGTGCAGATTTTGCCTACATCGTCTAAAATTTGCATGTAAATTTATTTTTACTTGCTTTGATGGGACCCCGACGGGTCTTTAATAAAAATAATTGAATTGAATTGAATTGAAATTCAAAAAAGTCCTCGAAGGCCAGACTGCAATCCAATCCCTTTATAATGCGGAAGGCTTGCAAGAGATCTCCGCGAAGTTGCCTGTAACTCAAAGGAAAGAGGTTCAGATTTACCAGGCGGGTTGCATAAGGAAAGGAGCTTTGACCCCTAACCATCTTCGTGGCTCTCCTCTGGAGGCAGTTTTGATCCACAACAGCCCACGGCCTCCAAGCTTGTATGCCGTACTCTAAATGCGGCCGGACGAATGTTACGAATGTCTAAGAGAAAGCTTCTTCGTCAAAGTCCATAAACGCACGCTCGCTGGCGTACAGTACGGACATTGCGCTTTTTGCCACCCTCGAACAGTGGGCGGATGGTTTTAAGAAACTCGTCGTAAGCACACCGAGGTCCTTTTGGGCTTCGACCTCTTGTAGAGCTGCACCGCCCAGAAATTAGCCTCTTGTGCTGGCATATCTGGCTGTGTTGCCTAGGCGAAGTATGCTACATTTGGCAACGTTGAACTGCAGGAGCCAACGATTTGAACACTCCTCCAACCGATTCAGGTTCATCTGCAGTCTATCTTTATCGACAGGACCCCGAATTACACTCCATACCTTCATGTCGTCAGCAAACATTGCTACTTCACAGTCTAAATCTCTTGCAGCATCGTTCACGTAGATAAGGAACAAAATGGGTCCCAGTACTGAACCCTGGGGGACACCACTATCGACCATAGCCGGATCTAATTTTCCCCGACCGACGCACACAACCTGGTGTCGACCCACAAGGAAGTTTTCGATCCATTTAAGGAAGTTGCTACCGTGTTGGCACAGTGTCGAAAGCCTTCTGGAAGTCGATGAAGGCTATGTGGACCGCGCGCCTGTCGTCGAGAGCTCGGGTCTAGCTCTGGAGAGATTGCAGCAGGTTTGTCGTGCAGGATCTTCCTGCTCGGAACCCATGTTGGCATCTCGATAGCAGGCCGTGAACTTCCAGGAATTGCATCAGTTCAGTCTTTATGATCCTTTCCATAACTTTGCAGAGAATGCATGTCAAGCTTATGGGCCGGTAATTTGTCGTCGCTGCCTTGTTACCTCCTTTGTGTAGCGGAGACAATATGCGCCAGCTTCCAATCGACAGGAAGCGTTCTAGTGTCAAATGACGTTTGAAATAGCATCGACAAAGGCACAGAGAGGTCACTAGCAAGTTCCTTCAGAAGCTTGGGTGGAATCTCGTCTGGTCCTGGCGACTTCGATTCGTTCAATGCCTCTAATTCTCTTCGGACAATTCCTTCTGAGAAGAGTATATCACTGATGCCTGGAGTCCGCAGTTCTTCTGTGGAGGGAGGAAGGAACCTTGCCTCATTTGTGTAGACTGATTGGAAAAGCCGTGAAAAATACGCAGCTTTATCCCTACTATCAGCGATCTCAACGTCGTCGGTAGTCTTCATCAAGGGGATTTGATGCCTGTTCCTTGTAGTTCGTCGGAGGTAGCTGTAGAGCAATTTTGGGTTCTGCGTTGCTTTTTGTAGCAAGTTCTTCTCAAATTCCCGCCGCGTCTGCATTATCAGCTTCCTCAGATTGTTTCTTTGTGTCTTGTAGGTGTTGAAGCATTCAGTTTGTCTAGTGACGCAGTATTTTCTCCACAATTTGTGTTTCCTGTTGATTTCTTTCTTGAGGTTGCTATTTAGCCACCCAGGGCGTTTGTTCAGTCTTACACTAGTCTGTGGGCAGTGGTTGTTGATGAGCTGCAGAAGGACATTCTTGAACAGCTCCCAGTCATCGTTGGCACTTCCCGTAAACAATGAGCCCCAGTCAAGACCGGATAAGTCTGCCCTCATCTGATTGAAGTCGCCCCGCCAAACATTACGCCTTTTGTGGTCTGGAGTATGTGAAATGGAGAATAACGAATAATCCCACATAAGCACTACGTGGTCACTTCGGCCAAGGGGCGACATGGAGGCGATCTCGTCTATGCTGTCTGGTGTTTTCGTAAAGACCAGATCCAGGCAGTTTGCCCCTTGTCCTTCACGTGTTCTCGTTGGGAACATTACATGTTGTGTGAGGCACTCATTTAATGTTTTGCTCAACGGGCGGTAATCGAATGCCGATTTTGGATCTGACGCTTGGAGGGTATTCCAGTTTGTTCCTGGTGCGTTGAAGTCGCCCATGATCATGATGTTAGGTCGACTGGAAAATTTCCTTAACTGCTCCAATAGTTGAGTGTCGGCGATTCGGTCTGTCCTAGATGGTCGGTAGACAGTGAGGACATCGAGACACGGGGAACCGGTAGCCTTGATGGTCAACCAGATAGCTTCCGTACTGCACGCAAACTTGGTGGTGTTATCCGACACTGCCAGACCGTCATTCACATACACAACGATACCACCACCCTGACGATGTTCCCTGTCCCTCCGATAAATTTGGTATCCAGGCAAGGCTAATTCGTTATCGCTTATATTCCCGGACAGCCAGGTCTCAGTTACTGCTAAAACATCTGGAGACAGCTCAACAAGGCAAAGTTTTAATTCCTCTAGTTTCGATATTAGGCTTTGGGCATTCGTGTACAAGCACCTCAGTTTAGCACCAGCCGAATTTCCCGTTGCATATGTTACTGCTGTGTGCATTACTCCGTTATCGCGGACGTCGTGTTCTCTAGGCTCTTCCGTTACAAGATTGGTTCCATTTACATGCCTTGTTTCAGTCAGATCACTGGACGCTACGGGCTCACTTGTGTTGGCGCCTTGATCAGGTGGTTCAACGAAGGTGTCTGCTTTAGCTGAGTAGCTGTCGTCGTTCGTAGTATTACAGGCTGGTTCCACTGAAACGGCATATATTTCCGAACTACCTTCCCCTTTAGCCATATCAAACGCTGAAACTGACGAATGTTCGTCCAGGGAACTAGACACAGTTGAATGCCAGTCTCTCAGGCGAGAAAAAGACCA